GGCGCTGCGGCTGACCGGACCCCGCCGGGGGCCGGCTGGGATGGCGCCTCCTCCGCCTTGGCCTCGGCTATTTGTCCTGGTAGCGCTCTTGGGGCTCCTGGGTCCCAGTGAGGTAAGGGGACGGGCTCCGGAGAAGGCTTTGGCTCGGGATCTCAAAGCGCGCAATGCCGAAAGTTAGTCCTGGAAGGAGTGGCGCGCTGAGAGGAGACCGGGAGTCCCGCCCCAGCGAGCCGGGCCTGGGGAGGGAGTGGGCAGGGCCTTCTCAGAGACCAGCGCCACAGCTCTGCGCTTTGGACCCACAGGTGGGAGCTGGGCCAGCGGAGGAGGCCGGAGCCCGTTGTCCCGGGGGCTCATGGCCTCTGCCCCCACAGGTAGGAGTCCTGGAGGACCCGGAGATAGGGGACCGCTGAAAGGGTAACCTTCTCCCCTGAGAGCCTCACACCCTCCAGGCATCACCCTCTGGGGACCTCTACCGGCCCTTCCTGCCCTAGTCACCAACATCTCCATCGCAACTGGACGCGTGGGGCCTACTGCCCTCTCTCCACCCTACGCTCTGAGACCCTCAACTGCCCTAAGCTCTCTTCTTTCCCGTGTACAGGTGTCACCAAGAGTGACGTATACACGGATGATCCCAGGGGCGGTAAGTCAAGCAGCAACCCTTCCTTGGGTATCAGCACCTTGCATGCCTCCTCCAACTGTCTGTCCACCAGCACCATTGTTTGTAGAAGAGGCAACGTTCCTATTCTCCCACCTGGCCCTGACCTCAGGGCGAAACAGTAGTAGACAGATGGCCTCTGTCATGGTGTGAAAGGAATGCTGTTGAAAAGCTGGCTGTGTGGGCGGTGGCTGCAAGTGGAGGTGAAGGTACGTACTGTCGTGGAGTCAGTTCTGACTCTGAGCCACCCTGTAGTGCAGGGTAGAACTGCCCCCTGTGAATTTCCAAGACTGTACCCCTTCATGGGAGTAGAAAGCCTAGTTAGTGTTCTTCCTGGTGGTTTTGAACTGCTGACCTGTGTGTGCTTAGGAGTCCAACCCATAACCACTAGGAAAATAGGAAAAAAACGCAAAAAAACCCAAAAACTCCACAATTCTACAGCCTAGCCCGACCATGTACCTGTGGGAAGTCCCTTAACTCGGTTTTCTATAAGCAGATACTGGCTCTACCTGTAGACCTGTAATGAGTGGGGACAGTTTTTGGAAAAGTATAAAGGTGTGTGGTGGAAGGCGTATGCCTTGGGTTTGTTGTTAGTTGCTGGTCAGTGATTCCTACTCATGCTGATCCCCTAGTGCTTCAAGTTTCTAGACTCCCAACTGTGGGGTCCACTTGGCTGGTTGCCTCTATAGCCTCATTGCCCATAGTCAGCTATCTTCCCTGTCTGGCCAAGAGAACTTGCCTCATTCCACCTGCCTGATCCTGTGCCTCATATAACCTTGTTATCCTATCAAGTCTCTCCACTGTTTAGAAACTTCACGGCTCCTTATTACCGTCCCTATCATGGTCATGGGAGAAAGAAGGGAGAAAACTCTCTGCTCATGTAAAGAGTTACAGTCCAGGAACCTCACAGAGGCAGTTTTACCCTGGTATACAGGGTTGCTCTGAGTTGGCATTGACTAGAGGCTGGGTTTGCCTGTGTTTTATTTTGATGAGGGCCATACTGCCCAGCCAGCCTTTCTAGGTCCTAGATAAACAAACCTCCACCACCTCTCCAAATCTTTGGTTCCTCTCCCTGTTTTGGTCGGCTGACCATACAGTGAGTGTCAGGTACATGCCTACCTCTGTGCCTTTGATCCTGTTGATTGCCCTTCACACCTGGCCTGGCCTAGTCCGGCCTCAAGTGTGTAGCTCCCTCCCCTCCTAGCATCCAGCTCCATCCATCTTCAAAGCTTAGTGCCTGAGTCAGCACCCTTTTGAAACCTTCCCTGACCATGCCTGTTCTTACTCATCATCTCCTCCCAATTCTTACTCTGATTACACCTGCACTCTCATAATTTAACAGCTAATCACTTTAACTTGCTACTCCATTTGCACTGGTTTTGTTTGCTTGGACTTCCGACACATCCCTTGCAAGCAAAGGGCAGGAGTTAGTTTTCTTTTGGTATCTCCTTCAACAGCTAGCAAAGCTCGGAGCTGGGAGCCAGCTCAATAAAAGAATAATTGAAGATGCATGATGTGAATTCTCATCGTGGGATTGTGCACCAGCACCCTGTGGACCCGGCGTTTGGATGCTCTTGGAGGTTGAATATAGAGATCTGATCAATAAGTGGGAGACCTGCACTCCCCTTGGGGGACACTTAAGAGTCTTATCTGGGAGCCTATAGGGCCATCGTTGCAGGTACAAATAAATAGAGCTGAAATCAGGTGATCTGAGTCCGGTAGGGTCACCTAGGCACAGGGCCTGAGAAGTGAACTTTGAAGCAGAGGCAGAATACCAGTGAGGGATCTAGGACAGGTTTGATGTCTCCTGGCCTTTCCTCCAGGCTGAGGATGTCAACTTCCTCTACCACCCCTGTGTCCACCCCTGGCTGAAGACCCAGCTTGCCCTCCTGGCCCACGCCTGTGTGGCTCAGCCCTCCCTGGCCCCTGACTCGAGCCTTACTCAGGATCGGGTGAGTGGTTGACAGAGGCTCTGGGAGAAGGCAGCACATAACTGAGGGAAGGAGAATTCGGGGCCTTCCTCTGGCTTGCTCCACCCCACCTGGCACTGCTCCAACAGGTGCCTCTTTCCATAGCCATTGGTGCTGACCGCGTGGGGGCAGACGCTGGAAATGGCCTGGGTAGAACCAGTCTGGGCCGCCCACTGGTTGAAGAGGAGGCGGAGGCGGCGGAAGCGGCCGCAGGAGCGAGCAGGACTCCCAGAGGCCGGCCATGCCAGGTCTTCTCCCTCGATGCAGAGCCCTGGCAGAGGGCGGCCAGGCTGGGGAGGGTGTGTGCAGGTGAGGGGCGCTGGGCCCAGGCTTGGTGGGGGTGTGTAGAGGGGTGTCACTGGGTTATGTGGAAGTGGGCAGGGAAGGATGACCCTTGCCTCTTCTCCCCACAGGCCCCAGCTTTGGCCTTTGCCCTGCGAAGCTGGCGGCCCCCAGGCACAGAGGTAGCAGCTAGAGCGCTCGGGCAGCTCTCTCCAGGGGGTGCCCGAAGGCGGGGGCTTCGGGCTGCCCTTGGTCTCCAACCCACCTCCACAGCCCCAAGGCCTTCCTCTGCTTCCGCACAGAACTGGGAGGCCAGGCGGCCCACACTGGGCACCCTGGATGAGGGGGTCAGTGCTTCCGCTGTGTCTATTGTCCCCATGCTGCCTGGGGGGCATGAAGGCAATGCTAGCTCCAGGACTGAGTCTCAGAGACCCAAGGGGCAAGGTAGCCCAGGCCGCTGTGCCTGCCCCAGCAAGGCTTCCCCTGCCCCCCGGGCAGCAACGCCTCCGCGGGTGGCCAGGGGTCCCACCCCACGCACAGAGGAGGCCGCCTGGGCAGCCACCACGCTCACCTTCCTGCTGGTGGTGCTCACTCTGGCCACGCTCTGCACGCGGCTGCACCGGAACTTTCGGCGCGGGGAGAGCATCTACTGGGGGCCCACCGAGGACAGCCAGGACACCGTGGCCGGTGAGTGTCCCCGCCCCCCTCCTCTCCCGCTCCCTCTCCTTGCCCTTAACTGGCCCCTTCACCCACAGCCGTGCTGAAGCGAAGGCTGCTGCTGCCCCCACGCCGCTTTAAGCGCTCCCGCCGGAGACCCCTCCTCCCGCCCACGCCAGACAGCGGCCCCGACGGGGACAGCTCGGAGTGACAGTGGCAGCCGGCTGCTCCTCCGGAGGCCAGGCCGCGACCTCGGCCACGTGTACGGGGGCTGGGGTGCCCCCTGGCGGCGGCCCCGCCTCAGCGCTCTTCCTGGTCCAGGAATGGGCGTGGCCCGGGGACAAGCTGGAGCCCAGTGGCTTCAGCCTCCCAGGCCAGAATTCCTCGCATTTTTAATTAAATTATTTTCGTAGAGTCTGGAGTCGAGTTTGTGCATCAGCCACAGGTGGGCACCACGCCCCGTCTTAGGGCTGTGCATCTTGGGTTCGGGTTTTGGCCTCCTTCCTCCGCCTCCTCTAAACCCAAAGGGGCCCTTGTGGTGATGCACCCAGGCTACTTACTGTAAGGTTGGTAGTTCAAACTCAGCCCCTCTGCCAGAGAAAGATGAGACTTTCTGCAGCTGTAAGGATTCACAGCCTTGGAAACCCCACGGAGCATTAGTTCCAGCCTGCCCTCTGGGGTCACTAAAGACAGCCCTCCTAAGAGTGCTTCCCTGGTGTGGGGCCTTAGAAACTTCCTGCTTAGTCCAGGCCTGTGTTTTCCCTTTCATACCTGCCACTGTCTCTTCCCGCTTCTTCTCCAAGCATCAGATGCACACCGTGGTCACTTATTTATTTTTGATACAAATGTACATGACACATATCTGGACAGTCAGCCCACCCACCACCACACAGATAGGGCCTGGCCCCTGGGAAGGTGGGGCAGGGGGTAGCTGGTGTGTGCTGCCTGCCCAGCCCAGGCGCTGGGGCTTCCAGGGGGTGGGGCCACAGCAGAGGTGCAGGTGCTGGCCTCTCCAAGGTGACAGGGTCTTGGGGTTCACACCCACTAGCTGAATGGGGGAGCCTGGGGAGCCAGCCCCAAGCTCAGGCGCTCAGTTACCAGCCCCTGCTGGCTGGCCCTTGCATGGGGGAAGGTGGTGGGTAGGGGGAGATGTCAGGAAGTGGTGTCCACTGAAGTTCCTCAAGAGGGTGTGTGGAAGAGGGGGCGGGTCAGCCGGTAGGACCATAGCTGGCCCCAGGGTGGGGAAGAGGGAGGCTGATCCCCAATGCTGGTCCCTGCTCCAGCCTGCCACTCCCCACAGAACCCAGGCGGGCCAGGCCTCTGGAACGGCACCGCCGCCCCGCACACTCACGCAGGCACGCAGGGACACTCAGTTACCACAAAGTTAAAATTAAGTGGGAGGAGAGGGAAAAAATAAAAAGACTTTCCAGTGTTTGCTGCTGGGGACCCCAGCACATGGGTGGGGGCCATTTGGCATGAAAGAGAGAGAGCAGCAGGGGCTGGTGGCCACAGGGCAGGGACATCCACTGATTCTGTACATAGGAGGGGGTGCCCCCGCTCAGCCCCAGCAGGGCTGAACTGGCTCATGGGGGGTGCATGGAAGGGGAGCTGCCCCACTTGGAGGGCCCCACCCTGACCCTTTGTTGAGGATGCCCCGGAGGGCAAGGGGCTGGGAGAGATGCCTCACGGGCCCCTGCACACTAAAAGGAAGGGGGAGAGGAGGCTATGTACAGGGAGGGGGAACGGAATGTGGGGGACAGAAGCACCTGCCACCCCACCTCCCACACTTGGGGCTTCAGGGGGCGGGCCGGGGCGCCTGGCTGCCAGGGAGCATGGCGGCACGAAGGGCACTTGTGCCAGTGGCTCTGTTGGGGTGGGGTTAGTGTCTGGAGTGGCCTAGCTCCCAAGGCCAATGAGGTCCCAGCGTGAGGGTGAGGGTGTGGGGAGTGGTCACTGCTTCTTCTCTCGGGTGGTGATGGTGACCAGCTGCTTGGCAGCCTTGGCGATGTCGTAGGCGCACTGGATCACCTGCTGTGTCAGCAGCTGAAAGTCCACAGGGGCGCCCGGCTCGGGGGGCACGGTCTTCCGGCATTCGCTCTGCAGCCGGTAGGCGCTGGCGTTGAGCAGCCGCAGGGAGCTGCGCACTGGCTCCAGGGCCGGCCTCTGGAGAGAGGGGCAGGGAGGCTGCAGTTCAAACTTCCAGCCATTTCTCCACCCAGGGAGCGGTCAGACCTTGTTATGCCTCCCCCCACCTCCCCACCCCATCCCCACTCCTTTTTCTCTGGCCATTACCTTTGGGAAGAGAGAGGCCATCTCAGTGACAGCCAAATGGATCTTCTCTGAGCAGGGCACAAAGCTGTGGGGGAGGGGAGTAAAGGGAGGGGTCCTCAGGGAAGGTTCCTGGGGACAGCGGCGCCCTGGTAGCTCGCCCACCCGTACCTGTCATGCTTGAATTCCTGGGCAGCCCGCAACAATTCCTGAATGTTCTTGGTGACCTGCTCCGTCTTCAGGATGACATCCTCTGTGCTGGGTAGCCCAGGGTCCAAGTCTTCATCCAGGCCCTCCAACTCGGGGTGCAAGTCCTCCTCCTTGCCCAGCTCCAGAAACCGCTTCCCTTCCAGGCTGACCGCATGGTTGGGAGAGAGGGGTGGGGAGGCACAGCTGTGGGGCTGCTCCCCTGCAGCCTCCCAAGACACTCTGGGGTGTGAGCAGGACTGGTCTTGAGACCTAAGGGTGTCTCACCCAAGCAGTGGGTCCCCACTCTGCGTGTTCTCATAGTCACTGTCGGCACCGCTGCCGTGGCGAGAAAGCTTGCTCTGAAGGGTGCAGCCAGAGAAGTACTGGGTGAGCACCCTCCCCAGCCCGACCCTCCAACCCCCACCCCCACCTGGGTACACTGCGGGTCAGGACATTACCGCGTGGCGGCTTCCTTCCTGGGGGCACGACAGCAGCGGGGAGGAGGGCGTGAAGGGCACCGCTGAGGTGGACACCCCCTTCCGGATCTGAAACCCAGGGATGGGCCTGGGTCAGTCTCTTCTCCCCCTATGTCAGCTTCCCCAATGAGGGCAGGAACGAGGTAGGGGCTGTCCTAGGACCTCTGCTCAGAGGCCGGCCCAGAGCCCGACACTCAGTGGAGCCACCTCCCCGGCGCTGCTTACCCGGTAAAGGCCGGCGGGCACATGCACGGAATAGATGGCGTCATCCTCCAGCTCCTGGGTGGGGGGTGGGGTGCGGGGACACAGCAGGTGTCATGGCCAGCCATGCAGTAACCCCAAGCACGTTTCCACTCCCCCTCCCCCCCATCCCCGCAGGGACCCACAGGAGCTCACCGTGCTGTGGAAAGGCTGGAGCCGCGTGGTGAGCTCGTCTCCAGGGGGACCCCCGTAGGGCTTCAGGGCGGAGCCTGGCTCATACATGGAGAAGGCCTGGCGGTCCCTGCGGTGGGAACTGCCCCCGGGGGCCATGGCTGTGTGCTCAGCCCTCTCGCTGGGCAGGGGGGTGGTGGGCACAGGCCCCGACTGCTGCCGGAGCTGTAGGTTCTCTGCCTGCAGCTTGTGGATCTGTGGGCAGCCACCAAGCAGGGCCATCAGAGACTCCGGCTCAGACAGGGGCCCCCCAGCGCCCATGCCCGCCGAGCCTGTGGCCCTCACCTCCCTCTGCAGCCTCCGCAGCTCATCACTCAAGCTACTATTGACCTTCATGAGCTGCTGCACCTTGGCCTCGGAGCTGGCCAGGGCCTTCTTCAGCTCCAGGTACTCCTGCAGCGTCACGGCCCCGTCAGACAGGTCTGAGGAGTCTATGCTCTGCAGAGGGAGGCAGACTGTCAGCCACCCGACCTGGCAGGGAACCGGGGTCCCCAGGCCTAGCCACCGAGGCTTGTGACCAGTGTGCCGGGGACAAGATGGTGCCATTGGGCCGTGATGGAGGGGGTCATGGGGTGGGGCCCACAAGAACAGGCAGGGGCGCTCAGACCCGGGCTCGGTTATTCCGGGTGGTGCTGGCGCTGCGCAGGGGCTCCTGGTCCGTGTCCTCATCGGAGGCCACGCTGTCATAGTCATGCTGGTCGTCCAGGTCGCTCTGGCTCCGAGCGGAGAGCTCCAGGTTGTCTGAGGACACAGGACTGTCACTTCGGGGCCTTGCTGCCTGGACCCAGGGTGAGAGCCAGGGAACAGGGGCAGAGCCCAGACAGCCCCCCACGCCCCAGGCTCCTCCCACCTGTCGGGCTGCTCAGACTCTTGCCCTGCTGTCTCCGCTTGGCCTCGCTGAGAATGTCGATGATCAAGGTGGCAAACTCCCGAGCATTAAAACGAGCCAGTTTCTGTCTCCCCTGCGAAGCAGCATCGGGTCGGCCCGGGTCACCACAGCCAGCCCCCGACTCCCAACACCGACCCCAGTCCTTTTAGGCACCCCCCTCCCAGGCAGTGGTGGGGTGGGACTTTGGTGAAAGGTTGGAATAGTCTCCAGAGGCTGTCTGCGTAAAAGTACAGCCTCTTCCTCATTTGCAGACCACCTGGAGCTGGGCCGAGGGAGGGGGGGCTGGAGCTGCCCCAGGAAGCTGGGGGCCAGGAAGGTGGGAGCTCCCGGCCCAGGTGCCCTGGGGCTCTCACCTGGTTCCGCGTGGCTGAGTACTCGGGGTTCACAGGCAGGAAAGGCACGGCACTGCGCTCCGTCACCAGGGTGCTGTGGTTCTGGGTCGCCAGCCACACTGCAGGGAAGGGGAGGCGCCACCCCCAGGGTGAGGGGTGCCGGCCTGCCTACCTCCTCCAGCTCAAACAGACCAGGGTGGTTGTGAAGCCAGACGCCTGCCTTGGCAAGGCGGGCTGGGGGCAAAATAAAGCTGGAGTCTGACTGGTTAGGAAGGAGTGTCGTGGGTGGGGCAGGACCGGAAAATAGCCCCGAGGTGGGGCAGTTGGGAGGGCCTCATTGCCGGCCTGTGGAACAGCCCAACCCCAGGCACCCTTCTGGGTCCCAGGGACCCACACCAGCACCCAGTTCCGCCCTGATGCCCCCCCTCACCCGCATCGTTCTCTCTCCGATCCACCTCGTCATACACGTCCATGGCCAGTTCCTCAAACAGCCGGTTGCTGAGCTGGAAGCAGAGTGAGGTTTCGTGAGATCCACTTCCCCACCCCCCTGTGCCAATCAATATAGCCAGCTCACTAGATGCCACCAGACCTGAGGAATGGCCTCTGCCCCCTGTGCCATCTAGATCTCAGAACCAGAAATTGGGGCTGGGGGTGGGCAGGGCCCAGGCCAAGAGGCGGGGGCAACAGGCCTTGGGCTAGAGGGTGCCTCAAAGGAGCCGCGAGGAAGGGGCACGAATGGAGACTTACCGCCTGCAGCTTCTTCTTGGCTGCTTTGGCCAGCTCTGACAGGTCCAGGCTGGGAACGGGGGCGGGAGATAGGGAGGGAGAGGTGAGCGTGGCCCGGCTCCTGAAAGGACCTCCCACCCATGCAGGGGCCCCCAGGGGGACGACATCCAGGTGCCGCACGGTACATGCCCCCATCCTGCCCACCCCCCACAGCCCGCGCCACCGACAGGCACGCTATACCTCTGAGACATGCACTTTTGCCGAGATCTAAGTCCAGAGGAAGGCAGCAGAAAGAAGAACAGGGCAGAGGTGGCGATTACCCAGGGCAGGGACCACCCGTCTCTGGCCACACACTGGGCCCCGGCCTGCCGCCTCCTCCTCCAGCCAGCTCGCGGGGCCGCGGCTCTCTCTCTGCAGCCGGTCTGCCATCGCCTCCCCTGACCTTGGTCCCTCAGCCCCTTCCTAACCCCTCTCCTGACCCCCAGCTGGGCCCTGCAGTGTTTCCCCACCCAGCAGGTGTCCCTTTCACTGCCCTCAAGGGAAGCCTATGGGTAGAACTCGGAACTAGGAATTTCAGACACAGTAGGAGCAGAAAGCCTCGTCTTTCTCCTGAGGAGCAACTGGTGGTTTCAAACAGCCGACCTTGCAGTTAGCATCCCCACACATAAACACTAAGCAACCAGGGCTCCTACTGAGCAGGTAGGGTGCTCTTTTAACTCGCAGGCTTGACTGCACAAGCCCTTGCCTTAAAACACTTTGTCAAACAGGGCCAGTATGGCATTCTTTGAACCAAAGGCTCCTTTGCAGCATAACCTGCTGAGTGCTCCCCGTGCACTATCTTATCTCACTTTGTCTTCTCAACCGCCCAGAAAAACAGGTACAGCCATCCTTGTTCCATAGGTGAGTGAGCCAAGGGCGCGTGCACGTGTGTGTGTGTGTGTGTGTGTGTGTGTGTGTGTGTGTGTGTGTGTGTGAAGGAGCCCCCGACCCCAGCAGCCCCAAGGGCAAACTTCTCTCCACATCTGCTCAGACCTCTCTGTCCCCAGGAAGAAGTTGTGGCTTGTGTGCAGGGGCACAGAGCTGGCTTACTCGCCCCCCCCCCCCCCATCCCAGGTGCCTGCAGCAGCCCCTGGGGTACAGCACTGCTGACCTCTAGGCCTTCGCTCTGCCAACTACCTTCCCTAGAGTAGACACCAACTGTCTTTGGACGAGGCTGCCTTCACTCCAGACTGGGGACTCCTCCAGGGCAGAGACCCTGCCTGAGTTCTCTAGGGCCCAGTTCCCAGAACATTCCATTGGAGGAGGGCCCATGGGTACGCACACAACACACAAGGGCACCCTACACACATCCACAGATACGCTGGGAAGAGCCAGAGCAGGCAAGTAAAGAGGAGTCTTAGGGTCTCGGGACAGAAGAGGTTTAGGTTTGGGGGCAGGCAATGCCCAAGCCTCACTATCCCTGACTGCCCACACAGGCCCTTGGGAGGACAAGCCTCTCCTTTCCAGGTCCAAGCTAGCGGGCACTACCTGGCATGAAGATGCTGCTAACACAGAACTGGCCACCAGGTGGCACCTCCATCCACCTTGTGAACTGGCTGGCTGGCAGGGGTGTCCAGTTGCCTGGGCACCTGGGACCTCTCAGCGCAGAGGAGAAACACCTCATGTGTCCCCCTCCTCCCCAAGCCCTGCCCAGTCCTGAACTACCCACAGAGGCCTGGTCACGAGTCTTTCCTTAGAAGCTGGTCTGAAGACTTCACAGCAAGTAGAACCTCGTGACCCACCTCCCTGCCAGGGTCTTTCCTGGTTCCCAGACCCTGTGAGGGCTTGCCAGGCCTAGGGCTGGAGCTGTGCTGGCAGTATCTGAGCTGGGATTGATACCTACTTTGGGGCCCAGAAATAGAATGAGGGCTGTCTGGGACAGGCCTGTGCCTCCATCCAAGCCTTGGGGGACCAAGGTGGTAGGGGGACCACAGCCCTGAGGCTGGGGGAGGAAAGGGCGAGGCCTCAGGGGGTGAGGTGCTCAGCGTGGCATCCGGCTGCCTCTGGAAAGGGGCATCAGGTAGGCCCTCACCTGTCAGCCATCTGTGGGATGATGTAATGCCCATTCTTGTGATCTGAACAAAAATAAAAATGCCAAGTCACTGGTGCTGGGTGGCCGCAGCGGCTGGGAGCCCACCTCACTGGCACAAGCAGGGCCTGGTACCCAGGAGGGTCGATGGAAATGGGAGCAGGGCAGTGTCCCCGCCACCTGCCCCCACCCCTAGGAGCTGGCTGGAAGGTATGGCCCACCCCCACTCCCCAGCCCCAAAGTGCTGCAGCCCAGAGCCTGCAGCAATTTCACAGGAGCTGTTGCCTAGCAACACTGCTCCCCAGCCAGCTCTGTCACCATGGCACCTGCTGCTGGGTGTGTCTGGGTCCCCCCCTGCCTGCCCAGCCCCTCGTCCTGCTCACCAGGCTTGCGTCCACAGAGGTAGAAGGCCAACCGGTCAGTGAGCTCATACTGGCACTCCACTAGCCTTTCAGCCAGCTCATGGTGTCCCGCCTGCCTGTGGGGAGCGGCGCGGCTCAGCCCCGCGGCAGTGGCCCCCACCCACCCAAGCCACACCTGCCCTCTGACCTCACCTGGCATAGTCAATGGGTGTGCGGCCATTCACGTCGGGGGAGCCGGGGTCAGCCCCGTACACTACGAGCAGCTCGGCCTGCAGGGTCTGCCCGGCTTTGGCAGCCACATGCAGAGGGGTGGTGCCCTTCTCCGGATGGAAGAAGTTGGCCTGGGCACCCAGGGACAGCAGGCGCAGACACGTCTCCAAGTTGCCCGTCCGCACGCTCGAGTGCAGTTGCTGCAAGGGGCAGAGCATGCGGAATGCACTGGGGGCCCCTCCGGAAGCTGTGCTAGCTAGCCTAGGCAGGCACCCGCAGCTAGGAGGGGCCCAACCACGACCGGCCACCGGGGAGGACAAAGGGCTCCCCCGGAGAGAGAGGGTCCGTTAAGCAATGCCATCTGCCACGTGTTCCACTGGGAGGAGACACAGCCTGTGGCACAGATGCGGTTGGGTTGGTCCCATTTCACAGAGGAGAAAACCGAGGCTCTGTCACACTAAGCCATCGCCGCAGGCTTTCGCAGCTTGAGTGGCTGGGTCTTGGGTTCAGTGGTCATCAGGGCCCTTAGGGTGCAGTGGGTGGGGAGAGGGGAGAAGCCACGGCTCCGTCGTGGGGCCCCTCACACCTTGCTGAGGTCTTTGGCGGTGACGCCGTCATCGTCCCGGCAGGGAAGCTTGTGCACAAACGCCAGCATCTGGTACTTGGCCCTGATGAACTCAGACTTGATGGGGCTGCACAGGGCACACAGGAGGAAGTGGGGAGCAGAGTAGGACAGGCTGAACCCGTCTGCACAGCCCCTGGCCACCCTCCGGCAGCCCAACTTACTGGACTTTGTCTTGGGGGTTGGCTTTGCGCCGGCCACTCTGCACTTGCGCGGGGTCCAGCAGGGAGTGCTCCCAGATGGAGTTGGCCCCGTTACTGGCCAGCGTGTGCACCATCTGCAGGGGAGGGATGCCAAGTGAGCACGCCTGCTGCCTGCCGGGCACTGGGGTAGCGCGCCTGGCG